CTTATCTTTGATGCTTCTTCTGCCAACTTGTTGCTTTTCACTTGCATAATTATATATATAGGTGATCCGAGGCAATCAGTAGGAATCTTCGCTTGACTTAGATTTCGTGCTTGTTGGCACTCACCAGTTAGCAAGGCGTATCTGCGGTCAGCCTTGAAGGAACTGATGTCTCTTCTGAAATTTGAACTCGCGCCTCCCAGCGAGTGCCACAGTCACAGGCTTGTGATTGACTTTCTGTCCTACAGGATTATCACTTGTAGGAATTATTAAAAAGACGGTTGCAGCGAAGAAAATTTTCGACTTCATCGAAAAGAAATTCTTATGATCCAATGTGTATATATATTGCGTGATTATCACTTGGTATGCTGTTGCTTGTTTGCATGCTACTTATTGATTGAGTGAGTAGTGGTGTATATCACTGACATTGACAAGTAGTGCTTGTCAGCTAGATTGAAGTAATCTAAACACAGAACAGTCGTTTCGCTCGTTTTTGCTTGGGTTCATCAACGGTGTGCTTGGTTTGATTCAGCTCAGAGAAAGGAATCATTTGAAACTACCTGATTTCTAGTTAGCAGCTACCTTGGCAAACGGGTAGTACCTTCGTTCTGGTTAGCAAGTACCAATTTGTCGATGTGAGTACTATACAACTATTTATCTCAGTTGATCAATAGTATGTAGTTTTATGCATATATGCTTGGTTTCTTGATTACCGTTTATCGTATCAACCTATTGATACTTCATAGCTCTTCTATGATTGCTCTGATACCTTTCATTACTATTTTCGAGCATCCTGTTTGCACAACAGTCTAGTACTTCTTGATTTTCAATGCACTTCCCTAACTGATATCTATTCATGATGAAGTAGACAGTGAAACTAGTCGAACGCTTTCCAGCTGCCCGACGGAATCTGATTGTGCATGATTTCTAATTCCTACCAATTTGCGATGGATACCGTAACCTCCAACCAGCCTTATATGCGAGAGTATTCGTCCTCAAACCGAACTTGGTGATATGGATTGAAATCAACTCCATTTCGTGTGCTCAATCTAAGTCTATCACATACACACCAAAATTGAAAATTGACGCATTCAGAAACAATAGATTGAACGAAGAAGTATTCAGTCTTTTTCAATTAGTTCCTTGTCATCGGATGGCTAACTCTACACTAATATGTATAGTTGCTTTTTACATGAAAATGTTTTACCAGTCAAGTGGTTAATGAGTTTTAGGTATAGGTGGGGGTGAAATTAAGAGGTTAAAAGTCATCAAAACAATTAACTAATAGATGTTAGTGACAGAATGTGTAAGTTTTGTAGGAGGGGTGAAAATGAATTAACTACGGAATTCACGATTAGTTAATTCATAGGTGTCAGCAATAAGTTATTACATAATCAAGAAATTTGTACAATAGCAATGATGACTAAGATGAATAGGATGACTCAGACGAGTTACGTAACATTTAGACGGGTTAATAGAATTAGCCGGAATTGTAAAAATTAACATTAAAAACGTGTCTCATTTACTTTCCTTACAATCTAGCATTACTTAATCGGTTCATTTGTTTTTATTAGCCTTTATCGACTACTTCCACCTGAACATTTGTTTGTTTAATCATGATGTTTTTCATTATTCGTGTTATCACAGATTGTCTCACTTTTTCATCCTTATTATTGATAAAACCATTAATAATATTAGTATTACTATTATCCCACCAACGACAATGGTGGGGGTCGCGCTAAACACATCACGAATTGGTAGGAGTTCAAAATCATGAGCCATTGAATCGGGTCCCAGTGTCTGAATGGTATACGAGCTTGCCTTGTACCCGGAAGGTCCTGGGTTCGAATCCCAGTGTGTGTGTGTACTGGCGATGATTCTCAAACTAGGATGAAACAGCAGCTGTCCAGTACTCCCTAGTTCTCAATGGTTCTCTAACTGATATCAATCCGTGATCAACTCGTAAAAACATAACTAACCCTTACAAACCAAAACTATAGAAAATTATCACTACTACTATTATGACTAATAGCACAATTTATATTCACCATCTTATCCTATAGACAGAACACCATGAGGATTGGTTTATATTTAAAATTTTATTTGTAAAGTTATGTAGGTATATTAGAGTTAAGGCTGATGAGATCTAACTGAAAATAACAATATTGTTCGCTTAAATGTGTCGTTCCAAAATTAACAAACTCAAAAGATAGTTGTCACAAGGGGAGGAGAAAAGTCATTTTTACAAACTTAATACGTATTATGTATTTGGTCATGGCAAAGATGAAGGGGCTCTACGAATTTCTTTCGAATAAACACAGATTTGGCTCGTTCATATGAATTCCGATTGCCTCTGTTGAATTTAAAAGTGGTACTAATAGACCATGCGAGAGGTTGGATGAAATTCGATAAATAACTTTCGAAACCTTGTTAGAGTCAACTTGATGTCCATTATCGACGAGATGAGCTAGTATTCAGCTGTTTATAACTTTATTTGAACCTTTGCCAAACCAAGATGTGAGGTGTTCACAAAGAAATTCAACGATGAACTTGCCTGATCGCACCCCCGCCTCCCCCCAATGTAATTAGCTCCACAGGGTCAATTAAACTGGTAAATCTACATGAAAGCGGAGAAACAGGGTAGTCTGTCTTTTCCACACTTTCAGAGAATAAGGCATCCGCTGTATACAGATCAGAGACTTGGAGCGTCATAAACAGCACCTCAAACAAACTTCAGACCTTCATTAACAGCTAGTTTTCTTCGCTCAATACTCAAGATCAGATGGCCGGCCAGAAAAGATCAGCAACACGGATCTCTGGCAATGAGCGAACCAACACAGCAGGAACCGATTGTGAAACAAATAGGCAGGAAGAAATGGAGATGGATTGGCTGGCCATACTCTGAGGAAACCATCAAGTGACATCACACGCCAGGCCATCGCTCGAGTGGAACCCGAAAGGGAAGCGACAAGTTGGTCGTCAGTGCGGGGGTGGGGTGACTTGGAGGAGGTCATGTGAAGAGCAGATGAGAGCATGTGGGCAGACTTGGAGCATGGTGAAAACGTTGGCAGAGAACCGAACGTAATAGAGACGCGCAGGTGAATCCCTATATTCCTCTAGGAATTAAGGGAAATAATAATAATAGTAATGATAATGTATCAAAAGTCCATATTTAATTGAAGTGGACAAGTAGTATTCATTTCACAAACTGATCGATTAATTGATTAGTTGATTGATTTAACGCATGAATAATCATTTGTTTTCATTTTTTTCACATAAATATTTCATTGACCTTTACGATCATAACTAGTCATCCTTTATTCTATACGTCACGCACATACACACACACACACACACACACACTGTAGAGGTGTTGGTTTTAGGGAAATGATTCTTATGAGTTTAGTAATCGATTTCTACCTTACCCTGTTGATATTTATACCATATCTCCATATTCAACAGTCCGATTAGTGTTTTTATTACACTTCGGTAAATCCTAAAAAGACACGTGTCTGTTAACATATATATATACACACACACACACACAAACGAACACACAGAGAGAAATCAGCATTTCGGCTACAGATAATCGACATCTTCGCCTTTTGCATGCTTATACACCAATAGACATCCATACAGGCACACAATACACACACCCAGGCATGCTTGCATGCATCATTCCCCCCTAAACAAATTTGAAATTTTATACTATCTTTCTGAAATAGTATAGGTATATATATATTCATTTATTTTGAACAGCATTACTCTGATAACTTGTAGAAGGGCAATAGTAGACTAAACCAGACAAAATATATATATACATACATCGATGGTTGTTATTCATCCTCTCTTATTGTTGTATATATATATTATGTGTGCATATATAGACACACACGCACAGACACTCACACACCCTTGGGATTGCTGACTCATCCATTTTGCTGATATTCATAACAATCATCATAATAACAGTCATAATATTGATAACCCCAACCTCTGACCTATACAGCTGCGTGTGTGTGTACGAATATATGAGCGCCATACGTGTTGTATGTATGTGACTAGCCAACTGACTGAGCGAGTTTTGAACATAGGACTTTGCACACAGAATTGCAACAGTTCGAGTTGCCACACCCTCTATGTACTTAGATAAATGAGACAGACAGAAAAGAAATTCAAAATTTTATAACTCTCGAGATTGGGACTTTTCAACAGTACGCACCCACCGGGGTTCGCACCCAGGACCTTCTGGTTACAGGGAGAGCTAGCTCGTAGACCATTGAGCCACTGGGACCTGATCCACTAGTTCTTGAATTCTAACTTCTGCTAATTCACGATATAGCGCGACCATTTCACAATGTCTTCTTTGATGAGTTACTGCCTCATCTTCGAAGTTAAAATTCAAGAACCATTGGATCGGATCACAGTGGCTGATTGGTCTACGAGCTAGCTCGCCTTGTAACCAGAAGGTCCTGGTTTCGAACCCCGGTGGGTGCGTACTGATGAAGTGCCCAAATCAGAACGAAACGGCTGTCCAGTACCCCCAGGTTTGTTTTCCAGTGGTTCTCTAACTGTTGTCAGCTCATGATGAAATCCTCCATGCAATCAAACACAAAATCCCTACAAAACAAGTTGACAATATTGCAGAAATAGTCAAGTGAAGATTAAGCAAATCACTAACCAGAGCCTATCCTGCAGCTAACCTGGTTCCCGTCTATCTGACAGCATACTCTTAGGTGCAGTCAAAAGTCGACTAATATCCTTCTGATGTTCACTTTAACTATGTATACAAATTTATGTGTATCTGCGGGAACAATTACATTGTGCTCACAGTTTGTTCAGAATAAAACTGATGATATTATTATTATTAGTATGATTATGATTATTATTACTCACATATCACACTCAGATAAGTAACTGATTACGATTTATCAATTATAAAATTCCTTTTTTTGAAGTATCCTAATTCCTGTATATCTATTTGTTCCCCACTTTCTTTTCAGACTAATTCTTCAGATCAGATTAATCCTGATACAGGAGTAGGTGGCAGCACAACGGTAACAACACAATCCACGTCAACAGCAGCAACAACAACAACAACGGGTGTAACAGAGATAATCAATACATCAGGACAAATCAATCAATCTAATGTTTATGATCTACCTGAACCAGAATGGATAACTCAGACATTGAAACAGTATTATGAATATAATATACTTCATAGTAAACAGAATATTTCATCAGGTTTTACAATTGGATCTTGTTCATCCGCGACAACTACAACCACAAGTGGTGGAGGTGCAGCTGGAGGTGGTGTACCCTTAGACTTTGAACAATCTTTATTTGATCATATTAGTACAGAGGAAATGATTTTACTAGAATCAAATGATCATGAAACTGAGGATGAAATGACAAAGCATTATTTACCTAGTCAATTTTCACCTAACGCCTTGTTAATTCTGCTGTCTAGTCTGGCTAATTCATCACCCTATCCACGTTTATCTGAAGCCTTTCAATGTGCTCAATTGATTTGGCGTCGTCTGCTGACAAAGCTAGCACGTTATCGAGCGGATTGTTTAGTACTGCAAGCTAATTTAGCTGAAATTAAATCCAATGCTGATCATATGCAATGTCAATTAAATCAAATCGAGGCGAATTGGTCAGTTATTGTGCGGGCTGTACAAATATCTGAATCAGCCTTAGAAATTAGTGATTGTTTAAATCAGGTAAGTGGGGAATTAGTTTAGCTGATTTCTCATTCTGTGTTTCTCCTTTCAACACCTACAGAGTCTTTGTCTACACTAGTTGGTTACTGGAGTGTAATCGATATTAGTCAGTTCTTTACTCTCGGATCGATTGTAAAACAGCCACACCTATCAGCGTTCAACATCTAGCATATTTCTTGACCTGAAGGCTGTATTCAACTCTGTTGACTTAAAGATGTTGTTGCAACGCATGTCCGGAAAAGGAGTAACAAGGAAGTGTACCACACTGATCAAGTCATAAGAGATAATGGAGAGTTTTCACATGAAATGATGACATCCACTGGTGTCAGCTATGGATGCCAAATTTCACAGCTGTACTAACGGATGTGACGCTGACTGACTATAACGACATAGGGATTTACTTGTCATGAGGTAGAAGTCTCTCGTAGACTTACAGTATACGGATATTATTATTATTATTATTTCCTTTAATTCCTAGAGGAACATAGGGCTTCAACCGCACGTCTTCACTGCATTCGGTTCTCTGCTAACGTTTTTACCTGGCTCCAACTCTGCCCACATGCTTTCATCTCCTCTTCACATCACCTCCTACAACTCACCCTTGCACTGACGACCAACTCGTCGCTTCCCTTTCGAGTTCCACTCTTTCGATAGCCTGGCGTGTGATGTCACTTGATGGTTTCCTCAGAGTATGGCCAGCCAATCCATCTCCATTTCTTCCTGCTTATTTGTTTCACAATCGGTTCCTGCTGTGTTGGTTCGCTCATTGCCAGAGATCCCTGTTGCTAACATTTTCTGGCCATCTGATCTTGAGTATTAAGTGAAGACAGCTGTTGATGAAGGTCTGCAGTTTGTTTGAGGTGCTGTTTGTTACGCGTCAAGTCTGTGATCCATATACGGATATATTGTCTTTCAATATGACAAAATGAACAGTCTTAGGATGTTTGACAAGCAGTTCACCTCTGTCAAATGTAAGATATTGCTACGAGACTGGTCTGCATTGTTACTTAGTTTAAGGGTAGGCAATAAACTGGTTGAGCATGTTAATCATTTGACTAGTTTGGGGATTCGCAACAGCCTCAATGGACTGACTGCTGATGAAATCTCAGAACGGATACAAAAGGTTCCTGTGGCATTTGCCAACTTACATCACCTCTGATGTGGATGCGATGTTCGGCCAGTCCTTAAATTATTTCCCGTCAGAGACGAAAATATAGCAAATAAGAAGTTTAAGTTACATAACGAAATTAGATAATAAATATATTCATCAAACAATAATGTTTGCCTTTGTAACTGGAAGATCCTGGGTTCGAACCCTTGTGGTGGATGAGTACTGTCGATGATTCCCAGACTAGGATTGTGGAAACAGCTGTCCAGTACTTCCAGCTGGTTTTCACTGTTTCTGTAACTGATATTAATCCATGATCAACTCATAAAAAATAATGCTTTTCTTGAGAAAATGTATTGGCTAAGATGTGGCCATAACAAGAGACAAAGTTGAACGTGCCACTCTCTTTGGATACATAGTTGGTCTAGTTTCTTTGATTACTAATGTTTCAGCTACGCTTAGATGTGTCGATTTCACTCAGTCCTATGAGTGAGGGGTTTAACCATATCCTTTATAATACTTTGAAGGATTTCTTGAATGAAGATAAGTGTCCTAAGTTTACAATGGTGTTCTCTTATAAGACTAAAGACTCGCTTCCGTTTTCTCCTCGGGCTGGATATGTGTATTTTATATATTTCTTGCGTTCATTTTCGGCACTTCTCCATTCCATTTGGTTTCTCCGCTATCACTTTCAACTAATTTCAAGATTGACCACAAGGTACTACTCCATCCTCATGTGATCTTCTTCATTTCACCTTTGGTGGCTCGATCCATCTGTTTCCATTCGAGTTTCATCTGACGACATTACTCAATGGTCTCCATTTCCTTTAGTATATTAATTGGGCATTGTAGGTTGTTGGTGGGTTCGCTGGCAGACTGCTTTGTCACTTATCCCTTCTGAACGGTCATCTGATCTTCTGTTTCAAAAGAACGTGGTTGTTGATGAAGGTCTGTAGTGTCCTGTTTGAAATGCCTTTGATGACCTGCTGTATGGACCACACGGAAGTAATGACTTAACATTAGTGTGAGAAATAATGATCTCATTTTCAAAAACAGTTGGACAATCGCATTTAAATACATAATTTAACATGGATACATTTTCTTGTTTGAGATTACACACAAATTACGACAGCGAATAAAAGGTGATAATTATTTTCAACTACATATGGGTTATTTTTACGAGAAGCTTAGAAACAAAATTACACAGGATTAGAACGGATAACAAGTGTGTGAAAATGAGCATGAAAAACAAAATTTAAAAAAAAATAATTTTAACTTTAAATGGAAGTTAGGAGGTGTGAATATAGATTAGTTATAAGAGCCTTAGAAACACAAAAGTTGTACAGGATTAAAATATAATTGTAAAATAGTTATTTTAAACGAATTATAAATGTGAACAGGAAAAGCATGGAAACAAACTTAAAATAACTGTTTTTATAACTGAGAAATGGGGTCTCTGTCTGTCTCTTTTCGACATAGAACTTTGCACAAATGTGCGGAAGTTCAAGTCGCCACACTCCTTCCTCGTAGCACACAAAGCAAGAGAAGAAAGTACAAGAAAAGCATAATAGAGACAGTGAGCAGAAGTGTGAGACAAAGGAGGAGTAATAACGAAGAACAAAACAGTTTCATTGGAGATCATAAGTCACAAGGAGTGGATGCATCTGCGCCAGCCGTTGAGAACGATTTTGAGCCATGTCACCAATTGTTTTCAACCATAGATTTTTACCGTCCCAAGGACCCCAGCCTGGAAGTCTACACCTTCCTACGTGACTGGCTTAGACCAACTGTTGTGGATTTCATTGACTGGTGCCAAGTTTTGGTTTGACCCCCATTAGCCCTTTTCCAGCCTGACCCTATGTCAGCTAACATTGCTCGTCGAGGGAGGCGATGGCTTGGCATACGTAACACATGTCCTAACCATCTCAGTCTTTGTAACTTCACGACTTCGTCGATTGATTTCCCCTGTTTACCTAGGACTCGACGCCTAATCTCAGTATTGCTCACCCTATTATGCCACTTTACACGGGAAATAGAGCGCAGGCACCTATGATCAAAGACAACTAGCCGGGCTTTTCATGTCTTCCACTCTCAGTGGTCAGGTCTCACAACCATAAAGGAGGACGGAGCGGACTGATGAGCAGTACACCCGCCCTTTGGTCGATAGTCGAACATCTCGTCTACGCCAGAGTCGGAGTAAACTGGCAAGTGCGAAACGAGCCCCCTGTATTCGTGCTGAAATTTCGTCAGAGATCAGCCAGTTGGGGCTGATGGTACTTCCCAAATAAGTGAAGCGGTCAACGTGCTCTACCACTTCACTTCCTATTTTTAAACTAGGCGTCGATGTAGTCCAGTCCTGTAACATCATCTTGCATTTGGTGGGAGCGAATCGCATGCCAAACATTCGTAGATTGCGGCTCAAGGTGTTTAGAAGACTCGAAAAAATGGGATGAATCGAATAAAGACTGAGGGAATAAGAATCACACTCACAGGAAACTAAAAAATATCAAAAAGGAAAAGAGAACGAAAGGAGAAAAACGAAAGCTAAGGGAACATACCAAACTAGGTTCATGGTAGTTGTAGAGATTGGAATAATCTCTTTTGAATGCACACACAGCTCCGGCTTCTCGATGCATATTTCGAGGGCTTCTGCAGTACAGAGGAGTCGGAAACATACTGTTTTTGGTAGGTTTCTGTTGACTTTATAAAAATTACTTTGAAAGAATCAGTTGAGATGTTGTGGGAGGTGTTGATCAGATGTTCAATAATTTTTACCTTTTATTCTCTGTCGTAATTATGTGTAAGCAAGCAAGAAAATTTATCCATGTATAAATTATGTATTTAAATGCGATTGTACAGCTTTTGAGAATGAAATCGCCGAAAAGGCAAATATCTTTTCTGAACTTCGTGTTCTCTTCTTTCTAATGTCCATATGGGTGTTTTCCACGATCTGAACTACTGATCTTGTTCCTTGTATTTGTATGTTGCGGATCTTCACACTGTTTTCAGAGTAATGAATGCCTGTCTTGCTTTTTCAGTATATTACCATTACTATTACTAAAATTATTACCACTACCATCCCTTTCATTCCCTTTAGTTATACTCAACTGAATTAGCTGTCACAATCTGTCGTCAAACACAAAAGCATCTGCTTCCAAAACATCCATTTTCAACAATTTCATCGTCAACATCCTCTTCATCATTTCATGGTTATAGTAAATCATCACCATCAAATAATAAAGTACAACAACAGCAACAAACTCAATCTCATCAGCATCAGCAACAACAGCAACAGTCATTGAAAAAGTTCCCATCTCAATGTCAACCGCCATCGATGATGCTACATCAACCATATGCTGTGATTTCTTTAACAAATTCTACAGGTTCAGAAGAACACGATTTATCAAATCATGGACAACAAATTTTACAAAATAATTTTAATTTAAATACATTGAAATTATTTAGGTAAGTTGACCGTATTAAATGTATAACATGAATGTGTATTATTATTATTACTATTTTATTATTATTGTTCTCTTGGGTTGCGAGTGGAACATGCGGTTTCAGCAGTACCTCTCCCCTTTTGTTCTATTGTCTGCTGTCCTCTTCATATGGCCCTACGATTGCTCATAGTATCTCATCTCCTCCTCGCACGATCTCGTACGTGTCACTCTCGGAGCTACACTCTGCTCGTCTTTTCCTATTCGGGTTCCACTTGAGAGATGGCCTGGAACGCAATATCATCAGAAGGACTCCTGAGCCTATGTCCGATTCATCTCGATTCTCTTCTAAAGATATATTGAGCTATAGATTATTGATTGGTCTGTTCCACTGCAGAGTTTCTTGTCGTTAATTCTTTCTCGCCAATCGGCCATTCGATCTTGAAAATGGAGCCAGCCAGCCAGCCAGCCAGAGAAGGTGGCAGTTTTTGATAAAGATCTGCAGTCGCCTGTTGGAAATGCCAAGTTTATGACCCACATAGAAGTGACTGACTGACTGACTTCACATTTATGTTGAAAATCCGACTCTTGTTTTTCACGCTGACTGCGTGCATAAAATTTGCAAAGTGATTTCAAATTGAAGAAGATGTACCTTGCCTTTCAGGTGCTGACTGGCTCTGAAAAAGTCATCCGTGCTATCGTGTGTAGTTGAAAGGATACATCCTGGTGGGATAAGTGAAGGAAGTGACCTCTTTCAGATTTCTCCCGTTGATAGTGATTGGTGCTGGTTGTTGTTGTTGTTTTCGGTTGGTTGGTTGGTTATCTTCATCACCTGTTTCCTCTATGTTAACCTGAATTTCTGTCTCCGTTGCTTGCCTCTTCTTGCCAGTTGTTTTTTTCCTGTAAGTCTTCGAGTTTACATGACATTAGTCACAAATCATCCGCGGAATTCAGATCCTCCAGAGTCTTATTATCGGTTTAGCATATTCCTGTCTTCTCGCTATCATGCCCTGTCTTCCGCATAATCCAATCCGCCAAAATTAGGAATATCATCATGAGCGATACTAGGCAGCTTTGTCTTGATCTTGTATTCACTTCAAAGGCTTCAGTGAGTTTTCCGTCGTGGGATTATCTGACATATTCCATTGTCATATAGTCAGCTGTTCAATGAGGTTGAAAGAGGTTCGGGACTCGCGATAGTGTTGAAGCAGTTTCAAAATTACTTCACGTTCAACACTGTCGAAGGCCTTTTCAGAGTTGATGCAACTGAGCTAGAGGTTTAACCGTCATTGTACTCTTTGTTCAATGATGATGCGTAGAGTTGCAATTTGATCAGCACATGATTTATCGTTTCTAAGTCCAATTTGTTCTGGAAGGAGTTCTGCAGCTGGTGCATTTTTTATGTTCATCAGGATGACGCGACTTCGTATTTTGCTTGGCATGGACAAGAGGATGATTCCGCGCCAGTTCTTGCAATTTTCGATTGCGTATTACTGACTGATATGCGTCGGCCGTTCAGTGGTAGAATGCTTTCCAACCACACAAATGACTTGAGTTTCATTCCCGGAGGACCTTACTCCTAAACCCCGTCTATCTGGTGGTAGTAAGTCCGGGAAAGAGGTAAGTTTGGGGGTGAGTCTTTAGGAAACCATTTAGTGAGGCTGTCCCTGAATGACTTCGAGCTCGTTTCCAGTTGGTTTCAACTAGAAATAACGCTGATGATTGCCTTTTTTTGGCCCATTTATCCAGCTAGACCTGAACTTTGGCCACATTACCTGCTGACTGTTTATCGCCTGGTCCACCTAACCTAATGGCTGACTGATATGAGTTAATTAGTTGGAGACTACTCACCTCAAGCAATAGTGCTTGCTATTTGGACAGATCGGAGTGATATAAAAACTAGGCAGCAGTTTTGTTCGTCTGTTGCCTAGCTTATCAGTTTTGGACCACGTATAACTCTGATCAGACACTAGTAACTAGTGTAATGTGTCTAATCCTTTCTTTGGTGCAGACTGAATTCTATCAGTCAGGTGTGCAATGTGGCCACCATTCTAGTTTTGGTTTGACCACCACTAGCTAACTCTTTCCTAACCTGACCCATCCTATATCAATCACCAAACATTTCCCGTTGTCGTGGAAGGTGATGGCTAGGCATGCATGCACAGCAACACATGTTATAACCATCTCATTCAATCTATGTAACTTCACTAGCCCGTCGATTGATTCCCCCTCTTTACCTGGCATTCGACGGATGCCAATTCTCAATAATACTCACCCTATTACACCCACCACCTAATATGGGAGATAAATAGAAGGTGGACATCTATAATCAAAAATAGCTAGTCGGCCTTTTCATGTTTTCCACTCTCAGTAACTATGTCTCACTCACAGCCATAAAGGAGGAGGAGGCAGCGAACTTCTGGTCGATAACCAGCCGGATATCACGTCCACTAAGCGAGAGATGGAGTGATTTGGCAGGCAAGTGTCAAACGAGCCTTCTGTATCCGTGCTGAGATTTCGTCAGCGAACGACTAGCTAGCACTGAATGATGATGGAGCTCCCCAAATAAGTGAACTGCCCAACAGGCTTCATCAACCACTTCACTCCTTATCTTTAGACTAGGAGTATTTGACAAGCTTAACTTTTTTTTATTCCAGTTATATTATAAAACATGTTTATGGCTAGCTCTGTGTTTGGCATTTTGAATAATTTTGCATTGAATCAATACTTTCCGTCTTATTATTAAACAAAAGGGAATTTATGTTATCTCTTAAGATGATTTCTGCCTTCAAATTGTTTATATGTATCGGCATAAATTTGTTTTTCACCATAGAACTGAAGACAAAAGCGTTTTTAGAAATCTCAAAAACAAGAGATAATGTAATATACTTAAAAGAGTTAAAAATATAAGAATTGTAAACAAGTGAAGCCACTGCCTTCTACGTCGAACATTGTTAACCGGCATAGGATTAAGCTGAAAGGCAGTTGTAGATGATCTAATCAGAACATGTTATCAATCGATAAATCCTCTTTACTATTGACCTGACCAACATAATAACAACAATAATTTGCTTTGTTTCAAAACACTTCTTATGGTATGGTGCGGAATTCTCAGAATTTGGTATTCCAATATTCCACCTAATTTACTCGACAACAGCAAAAACAGAAATTTAAACAAAAATAATATGAATAATAACAATAATAATAGTTTGCTTTATTCCAAAACAGTACTTGTGATACAGAATGGAATTCTCAGCACTTCACTACAGTATTGCATCCAGTTAGTACATTATCAATAAATAAAATTCTACATAGATTAAGGTAATCTCAGTTCATTATGACAATAACATATTGGCATGTCGGTAGCAAGGCCAAAAATTGAACAGAGTATTTGAAGGTGTTAGAAAAGTAGATACTACTAGCATATTTTCTGGCGTAATCAGAAGAAAGAAACAAAGCAGAACATAACAGAGAAAAAAGGAGAGAGAAAAGGAAAAGAAAGAAAACGTTGTACCTATAAATAATGTGGAGTTGGAAAGACGAGATCCAGTTGTTCTACTGACTATTTAATAAGTTATAGGTATCACGCCTAACGCTTTCTTTATCGCACAGAACACGAGCTAAATAGGGTATGGTTGAGTTTTTGTACTTACTAGTGCGGGCATATAGTTTTCTATATAGGCTTCTGGTCTGTTCTGGCCTGATGAGATACAAGGAGAGAGTTGTGAATGAAGTGGGTGGTGGTGTGAGTGAGACAGATAAAATGAATTTAGCCCATTTTTCACATGAGTCCATGTGCCTGTCGACCAGAATATTAACAAGCTGGTTAAGTGGTACGTTGCTTACCCTGCTGACAACCTTTAACATTGATGGATAATAACAGGTTTTTGGTATTAGCAGTGACAGTCATTATTGTCGAAAATGTACAAAAAGTGTAAACTGATGATGACAATAATGTTAATAGCTAACATTATAAGTTAATTGAAATAGAATCACCATATATTACTTGTAGGGGAGGATAAAAAGGGCCAGTTATTTTGCCGATAACATACTAAGTCGTAGGTTTTGCGCTTAACACCATCTCTGTTACACAGGGCGTCGGATAAGTACGGTATTTTTCAGTTTCTTTACTTCGTTGTACGAGCATGTAATCTTTTATAATAATATTTGGTCCGATCAAATCAGATGCTAGCAGAGATTTGCGAAAAAAGAGGGTGCTGATGGTCGAATAATATGGATTTCGACCATGTCTCACATGATTTCATGTGTCTGTCAACTACTGCAGTAACAATCTGATTTAGTGGCACTCGACTTACCCTGCTGACAATCTTTAATACCCTCCGCAATATGACACAGTTCTTTTTGAGTAGCCCCGTTGGAAAGACTAAGGGGGGCCACTAAAGAACAATAGGTAAGACGTAGAAGTTAAATAAGCCGTAAAAATAAAGGTCGAGTGATTCCAGATTGCCTTAACTTCTTAATGTAGTGGGTCAGATGGAACATTTTTTTTAGAAATTGACAAGATATGGAATAACGAAGGAAAGGTCAGAGGATAGAACTGTTCCAAAGTATTTAGTTACTATTTCAGTCATCTTCATCCTACAAGCGTCATGTGAACGAACCGGTTCGGGTAAATCACGTTTATGCTTGAATGGGAAGTTATCTGTCTGACATTTGGAGGGTTTTAACATGAGATCATTTAAGTTAGATCATTGGCTATTCAGTTTGGAATAGCTAGATTGGAAAGTAACTAGCAACTTTTTCCTTCACGTTCCCCAGTGGAACATAGGGCGTCAAGCTAGTAGCTTGAAGTTTCTGTAGCAGTGCTTATTTTTTAGAGGATGGGGTTGCTAGCCTCATGCCCAACCTTTCCTCTTTACCAGCATTATTTCTGGCTTAGCGAGGTAAAGGAGTGCGTCGGTGGCTGGGGATGGAACCCCAGACCATGTGCATGGTTGGCAGGCGTCTTAACCACTGTGCCACCGACGCACCCAAGTAACTAGCAAAGAGACAGTTATTTAACAAAGTTGATTTCGTCCAAAAGACGCAATTCGTGTACGAAGAAAGAAAAAAAGAAAGGAAGAGAGAAGAGCACCTTGAGGAACTCCAGTTCCAGTAAGCAAGAGGGAAGAACACTTGCCTTTATATACAATATACTGCATTCTGCTAGAGAAGTTATGAATGTAACCAGTCATCAGCCCATAGAGGTGTATATATTGCCCAGATGGGGTCTTCAAGACGCTAAGGAACAATGACTGGAGACTGTGAGTGTTGGTGACATGGCTGAAAATTGTTTCTGAATGACTCAGATGAATTCACTCTTTGCAGTCTCTCAAGCCCCTTAAATCTCCACTAATCTGCCAAATTTTTTTTCTCATTTATGTTTGTTTTTCTCTACATTTATCTGTGGTTTTAATGAAGTGAGTCATTGTTGAACTCCTGCACTCCTGTTCGGTTCACAGTTAAGTTCAGTTCACATACTACTCATCGTTAAATAAGTGTGATATCTAAAGTGTTTAATTTCGTTCAATGGTTCATTTAATGCAATGGTAAAAATACTACAGAATAAAGAAAAAAATAATACAAGTTATGTTGGTAAAACTCTGGAAGCAAACCAAACAGGAACCGATTGTGCAACAAATAGGCAGAAAGAAATGGAGGTGGGTTGGACATACTCTGACGAAACCATCGAGTGACATCACACGCCAGGCCACCACTCGAGTGAAACCCGAAAGGGAAGAGGCGAGTTGGTCGTCAATGCGAGGGTGACATGGAGTAAGTCATGTGAAGAGGAGATGAAAGTATGTGGGCAGACTTGGAGCCAGGTGAAAACTCCAGCAGAGAACCGAACGCAATGGAGACGTGCAGCTGAAGCCCCATGTTCCTCTAAGAATTAAAGGAAATAATAATAATATGTTGATAAAATACGACAGATTAATACAAATCTGAAGTGAGTACAAAAGAGGAAAACTCAAACTGAAAGTCCTTTGACTGCAAGTCAACGGTGTCGGTCAATTACTTTCATATCTTAAGAAAATTTCATAACTGCCTTTTAGGTAGAAAATGCCAGTTTGTAATATACCTCAAAGTCCACAAATCACTAATCAACGAAAGAAGTTTGAAAGAGGTCACTTCCTCCACTTATCTGGCTAGGAAGCATCATTTCAAATACAGGCAACAGCACGGATGAGGATGTCAGAGCCAGTGAAGGTAGACCTTCATCAATCTGAAATCAGTTTGCGAATCGTCTGCACGCAGTCAGCGTAAAAAACAGGAGTCGGATTTTCAATACAAATGCTAAATCAGTCAGTCCGTCAGTGCTTCCACATGGGGTCAGAACCTTGACACGCGCATCACGTAAAGCATTTCCAACAGTCCGCTACAGACTTTTGTCAACAGCTGCCGCCTTCGCTGACTGGCTCCATATTGAGGACCAAGTGGCCGGCTAGCCAGAAAGAATTAGCAACAAGAAACTCTGCAGTGGGAGAAACCAATCAAGAACCTATAGCTCAACAAATCTTTAGAAGAAAATGGAGGTGAATCGGATATACACTCAGGAGGCCATCTGGTGACACTGTGCTCCGGGCCATCTCTTAAGTGGAACCAGAATGGGAAGGGACGAGTGGGGCGTGGATCCGAGGGTGACATGAAGGATATCGTGCTAGGAGGAGATGAGATACTGTGGGCAAATGTGGGCACAGATGAAGAGGACAGCAAACAACAGAACAAAGTGAAGATGTGCTACTCAAGCCGTATCTTCCACTCGGAACCCATTTACTTATATTGACGTAACATTTATCTGAAAGTATCAGTTATGCAGTTACATGCAGGTCATTGGATCTTAACGTAATAACTGAAAGGTGAATAGTCTCACCTCGTAGGGTGAAGATTATGTTTTTTTTTCACTGACGTGATCTTGGCTGGGCGCAACCAAAGAGTCGCAAGCCAGGACGAAACAGCTGTCCTCTTCTGTTTAAATGATTGATTTATATTTGATTTACTTACTTCCAGAAGTTCTTCTGTCATAGTTCTTTTGATAAACACTTAGTTCAGTACTATTGTGGCATGTGCTACTGACAAGACTTTACAAGTGATTTACTATGTATGTAATGTCTTCTGCACAAATATTGAATAGAAGAGCAACGGATTAAATGGTGAAGACAAGAACTGAAAGATCCCTGTGAAATAATAGATAGAAAGCATGGAAAGAAGATAAAAGAAGCCTTATACGAAGAATATGTACAAATATAAATTTTATCGTAAAATTACTGCATTTTGCTATAAATGTACATCGGTTTGCAAAATAGGCATTCTTGCTACTAAATATTACCATTACGCTATATTTTCATAGGTCACAGTCGAATTGGCCTTTAATCTATGTAGCAAGCACTTTCGGAGAGTATAAATGTTTCCTAGCGCTACTGTCTAATATCCAGATTGCTGAGATCCTGGACTTATCGTTGGCTTCAAAAGATTAAGCCTAATACGGAGAACACTGTGTACTGTTACCGACGCGGAACAACAGAAAACGGTTTTTTAATTCCTTCACGTTCCCAGTGGAACATAGGGCCTCAAGCTAGTGGCTTGAAGTTTCTGTAGCAGTGGCGTTCATTTTTACAGGATGGGGTTGCTAGCCTCATGCCCAACCTTTCCTCTTTACCGGGATTATTTCTGGCTTAGCGAGGTAAAGGAGTTCGTCGGGCGGGATCGAACCCAGGACCATGTGCATGGTCAGCGAGCCTCCGAACAGCTATACCACCGACGCACAAAAAGAGGAGACGGTCTCCATGCGCGGACCGGGCTGTCACATGACCATCATTCACAGACGCTATCCCGCTACCGCACCACACAGGGACTTTTGCCTTCTGGGTTTCCCCCTGGGCCGGTACGCCCCTCCTTAGTCGACCTAAACAACCCGTCCTCCAACAGGTCATCCATACCGGCGCTGTGCTTAGCGTGGACGCCCGATCAACATGAGCAGCCATATGCCAGAACTCCCGGTCCCGCGAAATTCCGCACCCTGGCCTCCAAATAGCTAGATTACAGGCGTGCGCCACCACGCCGATGGGGAACAACGAAAAACGGTTGGGTTACGCGATTATTTATTCTTCAAACGATAACGAAACAGATTTACGGTGGTTAATGAGTGCTAAAGTCTTTAAATAAACGTTAATATAATATACAACAATACTTGTGGTCGTATTTCTCCAATCGTCTGACAAGGAGTACATAATTAATCGACAACAGCCTTCTTGTCTCCCGCCAATATTATGGAGACCAGTTTGAACAAACAAACAAACTATTCAATGTTCAACATTTACAGCTACTATCATGCACTTCAATTAGAAGTGTATATACTGTAATAATAAAAAACATGTACATGATATTCTTCATAAATTGTTGAATTGATAAATGCTGACATCATTATTCTTTTATTCCTTTTCTAGACAACAAGCTGAATTCTTAGCCTATACAGTATTAGATAAATATGAAACATCCGACGGGGGTTATGAGAAGATTTTGCCGACGACATGTATGCCAAACATGATGATGATGAATGCACCAACAATGGTGACAACACCTTCAGTGGTAGGAGCAACTGTTGGCGGTGGTGGTGGTCTGTCTCATCCACGTGGAACTATCGCTAATCATCATCAATCCCAACAACAACAACAACAGCATCCTTCTCAGTCTCCTGTTAGTCCAGGTGTCTTTTCTATCCAATCAGCGATTACATCATCGAATAGTCTGTTAGATAATAACAGTGTCTATGCTAATTCATGGTATGTTAGCTTGAATCGATCACGAGGTAATAATGGTGACCAATTCCGGCAACAACAACAACAGCAACAACAACAAACTCATGTGAACGGTTCATTCCCATCAATGAATCATCCACTGCAACAACACCCTATTCGAATGAATACCATGAACAATAATCCACAAATGCGTACATTTTTGAAATCATATTCTCCTCATATAAATACAAATCAAACTATGAGTAGTACAGGTGGAAATACTGGCAATGGCGGTGGCGGCTGGGAGACTCCAGATTCAGGTGCTGGTAGCAGTAGTATGAATGAAGTTTCCTCACAGCAACAACAGCAACTACTACTTGGCCAACAATCACATCATCATCAACAGCCATTCTTGAATCCACCATTTCTACTCTCCTCCTCTACATCGTCATTATTATTTGGACATTTTTATCAAACTTATGGAGTAAACAATAACATTAATAATAATAATAATAATAGTAATGGTAGTAATAGTAATAATAAATTGAATAGTCAATCCGATTTATTCCTGTTCAATTCATTATTGGACAATTTACCGCCACTATGGACATTTTTAGCCAAATCATCAGCATCTTTCTACGAATCAGATTTAGATTCATCAGATTCATCGGATGCACTTGGAGGGAACACGACACATACTACTCATCAGCAGCAGCATAATAGTAATATAAGTAGTCAACCTTCACAACAGCAACAACAACAGCACAATCAAACGCCAAATACTAGTATAAATCCAAATATGAATACAACTAGTAACAATACGAATAGTTATATTCACTTATCTAATTGGTCTAGAATAGAAGAACGTAAACTGCGGACAATTTATTGTCAATTAATCAATACTTATAAACGTTTAAAATCAATGTTAATTGATTTGCCTAACTTTGATATGAGTATGAATCATGAAGGTGTACTGGAGACATCATCATCGTTTATTAGCAGCTATCCCGATGGTGGTGATTTAAACAATCCTACGAATAAGTTACTATCACCAACTACAATACAACAACCCCAACAACAAACCGACTCAGACCGAATGAGTCGTTTAAATCAATGGAATGTAAGTCTTGAGATATTTTTTTTTCCTTCACGTTCCCAGTGGAACATAGGGCCTCAAGCTAGTAGCTTGAAGTTTCTGTAGGAGTGTTTATTTTACAGGATGGGGTTGCTAGCCTCATACCCAACCTTTCCTCTTTACCAGCATTATTTCTGGCTTAGCGAGGTAAAGAAGTGAGTCGGTGGCTGAGGATCGAACCCCGGACCATGTGCATGGTTGGCGTGCGTCGCAATGTAAGTCTTGAGATATACGATATAAATATTTGATAATGAGACAGTCTAACTAATATAGTCTTACGTTGTTGATAGACTGCATTATTGAGGTGGTAAATGGGTGATTTCCGCATTAGAACAACCCGCCTCTGAATTACTAGTCTGTCGATCTATCATCTGATGGTGAGATTGTCTTATATGGCCACTTTGAGTTATTATCATGAATCCCTTGCGTTCCGATTAGAATACAGTCCTTCAACAGTATATATTCATCTCATGTTGTTCTGTACAATACCCTTTTTATCTGACTCCACCATTGACCACTGAAAATTCGAAAAGAGTACCGGAAAGCTACTTCGTCCTAGTTTGAAACGCTTTAACAGTACCTGCTCATAACTCCTCAAGCTAAGGTTGGAACCCAGGGCCTTGAGGTTAGATCCCATTTGAATGACTGGGATGATGTCTTGTCGTCCATGAATCGCAAATTCTATCGATTCGATAGCACATAGCGTAATATTACGTTGGACACTATCAGTTTGCCTCCACTGGAGAGGTGAAAATTAAGACGGAACAGTTGTCTGCTGTTTATTCACCTACACTAGTCTTCTAATTGTTCAAATCAATATCTAGGCATTCAGATGACAGGATTTGTGACATATTGGATTCATTTTAATCATTGGATTTTCGTCATGAACCAACATCAGTTAAAAAGGGAGGGGAGCATAGGATAGCCTACTAGGGATCGGACCCTGAACCAAACCCTGAAGAGATTGCAAGATGAAACAGCTCTCCCATGCTTCCAGTTGGTTTTCAATGATCCCCCTACAACTATAATGTCAATTCGTGACGATGAACTAATAATTGAAATCAACACCTTAGTTACAGGATTTTCATCATAAGCTGACATTAGTTAGACAACCATTGGAAAACCAGCTGGGAGTACTGAACAGCTGTTTCCCCGTCCTGGTTTGGGACTTTTCACCAGTACACACCCACCACCACATGGGGTCGAACTCAGGACCTTCTGGTTACAAGGTGAGCTAACTCGTAGACCATTAAGCCACTGGGACCCGATCCAATGTCCAGCCCATGAATTCTAACTTCTGCCAATTCACGACATAGCGCGACCCCAGCCAATGTCATCCGAGACGAGTATTTGTCTTCACAGCCGACGTGCTGTACCCTGCTGGTCACGACACCTGAATATCAATATGATGCTCACTAGCGACTGGTCCTATTCAGGTAGGTAGTTAGTTACCTGGGGTTTTAGTGAGAAATCGTGACCTACAGGGTGCAGCAAATCGGGTTTGAGGACGAATACTCGTCTCGGATGACATTGGCTGGGGTCACGCTATGTCGTGAATTGGCAGAAGTTAGAATTCATGGGCTGGCCACTGGATCGGGTCCCAGTGGCTTAATGGTCTACGAGTTAGCTCACCTTGTAACCAGAAGGTCCTGAGTTCGAACCCATGTGGTGGTGGGTGCGTACTGGTGAAGAGTCCCAAACTAGGACGAAGGAAACAGCTGTCCAGTACTCCAGCGCTGGTTTTCCAATGGTTCTCTAACTAATATCAGCTCATGATGAAAATCCTATAGCCAATCGACAAAATCCCTACAAACCAACACTTGAATAACATCTTAGTCGTCCTGTTACAAAAATGTATAAAGCAATACAATGATTTCATATCTTCGCCTTGTTTATTAATTTATCCTTGGTTTATTTATCTTTTATTTGTTAATTATACAAGTATAAACTGTTATTATTAGGTAAGTGTACAATCATTGTACAATGCCATGGACTACGTTTCTTTGTTCATTTGACTCGACTTGTTGTGTATATCTATGAATGTATGTATGTATGTATGTGGCAAGGATGATTCAATAGTGTTGTATGCTTCTGTCTGTCTTTCTGTGTGTGTTGTGTGTCTGTGTGAGTGTATGAATCATTTTCTCGTCTTTCTAATAATAATAATAATAATCGTACAATTGAAACTATCTGCTCTCCTAGACACAATAAGATTAACCATCATCATCGTCATATTACAACCAATTATGAACATGTGTAAAATCTAGAATTATTATTATTATTATGATTACTATTATTGATTTCTACATGTGCCTTGATTTATTGTGCCTATCTTATCCGTTCGACGTCCACCACGTTAACTGGCACACACACACACATGCACACATGCATGCACACCGTCATCTCCTAGACCTACTTCTAAGTTAACAAGTAACTAACTAACTAATTCAATGAAAAATATATAGAAAAATCTTTGTGATATAGAAACTGAACAGCAGGTGTTTGATATGCATATAGGCATGAATGTGTATTAATACGCACACATATGCACACACGAACACACACACACACGGGTTTTGTTATTGCTTCTTGTTGCCTCCTGGAACACATAACCGACTAGACTGGGCTGTGCTCTCACCCACCCACACATATATATATATATATATATATATATATATATACGTAATCATGTATCTATGTGTACATGACACCACGTGTACAACTGTAGTTTCCACCACTAACATACGCCCCTTTCGTGTTATCTCCAGTATCCTACCCCGTCCCACCCCAACCCCCGGCTAAACACTGACGTCTATGTGGAAAACTATGCCGTAAAAGAATAACACTTGTTCTGACCCTGGAAAGATTGTAAGAGGCCTTATTATTGTTATTATTATTATTATTATTATTATTATTTCAGATGGGTGTTGACTATAAATTCAATGCCTGAATGTGCTACGATGTATTCAGAGTGTTGTTTAACCTTTACCGCTTAAACTAACACTAATTCCCTCACACCATCATGATAATCATCATCAATAATTTCCATTTATCAATAAATGAAACATTCACTTTTGTGTGTTACCTCTCGTGTTCATAAATAATAATCATAATAAACAGATATTATTAGTTTAGGTCAAGGTTGTATCCTCTAATCAAATATTACATCCATCGATGCAAACATGAATAAAAAAGTCTGTGTGTATTATTTAACTACTAAATGGCAACTTATTTTTACAATAGAAAAAATTTCTACAATCACGTGATAAATAAGTAGTACTGCTGAAGAGTCCCGAACTAGGACGAAACAGCTGTCTAGTACTCTCAGGTTTTCCAGTGGTTCTCTAACTGATCTTATCTCATGATGAAATCCCCCATGCAATCAAACAAAATCCCTACAAAACCAACACTTGAAAATTAATCTGATGCTCAATAGTGACTGGCACTATTCAGGCAGTTAAATTGGGGTTCTAGTGGGAAGCCGTGACCAGTAGAGTACAGCAGGTTGAAGATGAGGCAGTAACTCATCGAAGAAGACATTGCGAAGTGATCGCGCTATGTCGTGAATTGGCAGAAGTTAGGATTCAAGGACCATTGGATCGGGTCCCAGTGGCTCAATGGTCTGCGAGCTCGCCTTGTAACCAGAAGGTTCATGGGTTCTAGCTCCGGCGGGTGCGTAGTGCTGAAGAGTACCAAACTAGGACGAAACAGCTGTCCAGTACTCCCAGGTTTTCCAGTAGTTCTCTAACTGATGTCAGCTCATGGTGAAATCCCTCATGCAATCAAATAAGTAGTAATAGCATCTATCATTGATCTGGCATATAAACTTGAAATGTTTGGTAATCAGTTAACCAACTACCGCTTCCAATGACTGATGCACTCCTCAAGGTTATCTCTTGGTTATCCTTTATTCAAGGTTGACCATGGATTGATATTGCTTAGTTTAAGAATCATTGAAGTACTGGATTACTCGACAACTGTTCTGTCCCATTTTGTCCCACTCCTCAGAAGTACCCGCCTACTGGGGGTCGAACCTAGGACATCTCGGTTACAAGGAAAGCTCGCAGATACTGAGACCTAACCCAGTAACCAGTCCATGAAATCCAACTTCGACAATTTAGCGCGACTGGCACCAGCTAATGTCATCCATCGACGAGTATTTTGTCCTCACTTCCAATTTGGGGGGCCCCACTGGTTACGACTTCTCAAAAGAACTCCGGGAAACTTTGTCCTGTAGTATAAGTCACTAGTGAACATCAGATTCGAAGTCAGGTAAGTGCGCGCCAATGAAGAGTCTCCGGCCAGGACAAAACAACTGTCTAGTCCTCACTGGTTTTCAATGTTTCTTTAACCAAAGTTATTTCTGGATCATATTTGAAATCAACTAAATCCCCGCAAACTACCATATGGCAATTAATCTAGTGTTCTCTAGTGACTAACTACAGGATGAAATCGCCTCTGGAGTTTTAGTGGAAACTTTTGACTGGTGGAATCCATCAAGCCCCAGAGTGTGAGGAGAAATACTCGCTTATGACATTAGCCAGCGGTGGTGACAATATGTATATCAAGAATTAGTAGAAGTTAGAATTCATAGAGCATTGAATTGCGTCCCAGTGGCTGAATGGTTTACCTCTTAACTTGAAAGCGGCTGTATTTGGACCCTGGCAATAAAGTCATGGTTGCATACTGTTGAAATGTTTCAAACTAGGACGAAACAGCTGTTCAGTAACTCCTGGTTTTCAGTAAGATGTTCCTTTAACCATTGCGGAACATATGTGTACTACACTGCACAGCAGGGTTCTCTACATATAAAACACACACAGTCACGAATGCTGATAGAAGACATGAAGGAATCAGAGCTGTCTAAATATGAACTGACTAAATTTTCAGCGTTAAACTTTACGCAAAAGTGAAGCGCTTCAACTTATTACACTATATATAGAAAAGTAATTGTAGTTATTTTGATGTAGTTTATTTCATAGTGA